AGCTCAGACGAACTCCAGGAGGTTAGAGAATTTTCCACGCTGTATTTTTTCAATAATCGTTTAATACGAGCTCCAGTTTTTTATGAAAACATTATTTCTAAAGTAAATAGCAAAACCCTATTTCTCCTCAAAATTGACGGTACTCGAAAATCGTTAGCATGTTAGCACGTCATCAACAGCAATCACCCTCGGGTCAAAGTGCAGTTGGTCTTGATGGTTTCTTAGAAGTACGCTGACGATGGGTCTAGTTATGTGGCATGCCCAGCATCACTGCACTGTCAGAATGGATTTGTAAAGGGGTTGATCTCGGCTACGGGATCAGCTGGTGGATTCGAGCTCGAAAGTAGTGGTGTTTACAGTGCTATCCAAATCAGTACAATTTCTAGACTGAAAAATGAATGTTTGGCGCCGAAGAAAAATCTGATTCAGTTTTAATGCGTGATACATTTTGTAGAATGATCCGGAGGGCGGCATTGAAAAGCGCAAGAGTTCGCTGGCAGGCAGCGTGCAGTCAGTGAATGCCACCGGGGTAAGTTGTCTGTATCACATTGAGCTGATGAAGAAGCAAATTCTCCAACTATTTTTATCAAAAAAAAAAAAGCGAATTTTTGTTTACTGCGAGCTACTCTTTACTTTATGTAAAGCCAAACCTAAATTAATTTTTGTCATCTTTAAATTAAAACAGAAAAGTCAAAATGTAAAGTATTAAAGGCCAATCCAACAAGTGGGAGTGTTTGCAGCATGCACCCCAAAATTGTTTGATTTGGTACAGCTATGACTGACAAGTGTGAATATTTTAGTAATGTCACTAGCATTAGCATCTCCACATCGATTATCCGGCCGGTCCTGACATTTTAAGAATGAGATAAACTGCTGAATCTGCCCTGTTTTTTTTTTAAGACTTCGAAGAAATTTCGAATATTTCAATAAGATGGAATTGTGTTTCAGTTCTTCCAAAGCAAGCGAAAGCGAGCTCGATCACATCCCAAAGAAAGTGTGCTGAATGGAGCTGCTATTCCGGCGCCGCATGTTCTCGGCGAAATTGTCAATGTCTCAGCACTTGCTGTTGCTAACGGCACTGGTCAGTTATTGTTTAAGCACTTGAAGAAATAACACATTTGGGTGCAAAAAAGTGAAAAACTAAGAAGAGGAAAGATAAAAAATTAGGAAAAGGGGAGATACAAGGTTAAGAAGAGGGAAAGTGTAATTTAGAGGCGGAGGAAAGTGGAGGGAGAAATACACTGATTGATGCAGGCGCTTCCCGTAATTTGATTTTTTGATGTTAATATATCCCGGTATTATTACTTCTAATTATGTTCATTCCTCGTCAAAAAAAAAAAATCTTACTAGAAGTGCGCCGAATGATGTGGCATTTCTGTAATTCCAGGAATCCCGCTCCTTCCATCTAAAAATTTCGGATCCGGTAAGTGTAATCGTGTAATGCTGTTGTTTTGATCTGCATGCGTAAAAATTAAAATACGGGGATTTTCAAAATTCCTCTTTTTTTTCGGTGGTGAAACAAATTGAAAGAGCGATTTGGGGTTCTCTATCCCTGTTAAGCTTTCCTGTATTACAGTTTTTCTTAAAAATAATGATTATTTTTCAGTTTAAAACAAATTAGTTGTGGTGCATTGTGGTAGTCCGAATATTGTGCTTGTTTCTTTCATTTTTTTTTATTCTGTAAAAATATCCCAATTTTTCACGTGCAGTCAAGAACGATTTGTTTTGAGGAAGTGCTCTAAGTCCTGGAATTCGTTCGTCGGATTATCGAAACCGTTCAATATCAATGCAAAGTCAAACTAGTCAACTGCAGCAGACTACCATGACATCACGCAAAGCACTATCCAGGCAAATCTCTACGAGCAAAAGTAATTCATAAATTATTGAAGAGTTACTTGTTCGTTTATCGCATTATCACGCCTGTAAACAGGGCTTCTTCTTTCGCAGTGTCATTATTCATTCCATGGACTTTCCTTTTCTAAGATTTTGTGCGCGATTTTTTTCTTTTTTTTACCTTTTCTTCTATTTTTTAGTTTTTTCTGATTGGGCCTTTATTCATTTTTAAACGTTTTAATTTTTTCACGACATGTAATGAAGTATTTGGAATGCTTCAAAAAGGTGTAATTTAGAGTTTGGTCCCTCAACTGTGTAGCTAGCGTCTTTTCAGTCCGTTTTGTATCATTTACGACCTACCTACCACTATTCCCGACATTTGTTTCTTTGTCTAAAAGGCTTGGCAGTTTAGTGTTTCCCCTGACAGAATCAATTAACAGGGCTTTCGCTGTTTCGAGGTGTTTTTGGTGTGACGAGCATCATTTTCTGTCCCAAACATCAATTTTACGTCACGATTAGATGCTGTCCTGATTAGATGAATGAGAAATCTGGGGTGAAGAAAAATGTAAATTCATTGTATTTTTCTATGTTTAAGTTAGTAAAACATTTTATAGCAAGTTGAAAAATCTATTTCAATCGCAGAAATCACTCGCAAGAATTGCCCTTTATTCCTAGAAATGTATTGCTATATAGCAGTACATTTCAGAGAATAAGAGGCGATTCTTGCAAATGATCCTTGTGATTGAAATAGATTTTCTAGAAACCTACTGCTATATATTCACTAAAATCGTTGTAAATTTCAGAAGAACGTGGAGGGCGCCGTGAAAGCGCTTCGGCTCTTTTCGGTAGTATTTTTGGCTTAATGAGGTGGAAGCGTTTCAAGTTTTGGCCATTCCGTCGTGGAAAGAATTCCATACAACCATCCTTCCCAAGAATGATAACGATTGCTGGACAAACCATCCCCCAAATGGTTTGTTTTCTCTGATGTTGCTATTTCGTTCTCTTTTTTCTCATCTATTGGGTTGTATTAGGCTGGAAGAGTTTGTCGAAAAGAAGTGCTGAGAAACGAATTACTCTGGTAGGAGCGATGCTTGTAGTGCACAGATGTGCACTTTTAGGGCATTAAATGAAGTATTATGCTATTTTGATACTTTGTTACCTCGAATATTTTTTGGTTCGTTTCTTCTTGCCATCATTTTAGTAGACGGTTTTTTCCATTCTGCTTAGTCATGCATTTACCGCTTCCACACGGCTTCCATTGGACATTCAAGTAGTTCTTTCCGTACCGCCGCTACTGCTGTTGGATCTTCGTTTGACACTACTAGAGTACTACCCAACGGCCCGCTTTTTGCCCCTACCGTCGCTACGTGATTGATTAAACTTTACTTTCTGGTTTA